CGGTTCGATTCCGAGAATGGGCATTCACTTTTTGTTTTTATGTTATCATTGTTTTCCACCGTTCAACTGCTGCAAGTCCTCAGAACAAATCATAGAGCACATAATGTATTATTAACCAATCTTCAATTTTGATTTCTTTTGCGTTCGCGTGCGCATGCCAGAGCCAGAAAAATTCCACTAACACTGGTAAAAGCTTTTGCAGCCGCATTGGTGGCATCATTGAAATATCCCATTTACAGAGATCAGCACCAAAAGTCCGGCACCCGCCAAGAAAAGGGTCCAGCTCGCCTGGAGGGCTGACTGGACCGTCCTCAAGTTCAGTCTATGTCCCGGGAAATAATTCTAGGGTCTTTAGCTACAGGGTTGCCTTCCGAAAGTAGGGTTAGGGCTGTTACAAGCGCATGTGCAGGGCTTTTTATATTGATCTCACTTCTAAGGTGTAATATGAATATTTACGATATTTATTTATAGACAACAAACGAATTATATATTAGTATCTATCTATATGAATAACGAGTATTAAATATACTTACTATATGTATATCAATATACATCTTTCATTGACTCCGACGTGAAATTTTTTCTATAGATACTGGCAGAGTAACATCGAAGGGTAAAACAATCTCGTAGAGGATAAAAGTATCCCAGGGTAGCAGAATATCACAGGGTAGGAGAATATCGCATGGTTGAAAAGTACCTTAGAATAAATGTCTATCACAGGCAAGTGTCACCCCTACTCACCTCCTCACTTGATAGTTCTAAAGCGGCCACGTTCCGAAGAAGTGGGGGGTACATTTCTCATGGCTTGTCGAGCCCATCTATGTACGCAAACTAACATGGTTGTTTTGGATATTCTGAACATTGTGATTTCATTTCTGATGATCAGTGAGGGGAAAAATTGGGTCTTGTAAAGCTCTAGAACTGCAGGAGAACGGATGACGGAAGGTCCATGAGGCCCACGCGCTAGCCTTGCATACATTCTGCATGACATGACGTATACAACACTCCGGTGAATACACTCACCATCCGGAGTACTAAAGTGCGTACGTATCATGAGGACCCAGTCCACACACGCACAGTCTTGGGCTGAAATGAATGACTGTCGTTGGTCAATTGGACATACACCCCTTGGCATCCTTCGTGACAATAATATACCCTATCAGTTAAGGAAAATGCTGCCGCTCAACGCTGCCTTGGATCCTGGATCCACGTCCTCGTCCCTATCTTTCTTCCGTCTCTATCCCTCTATCCTCTCATAGTTCGTCACGTTCTCTCTGTCTCCATCTCTGTATGAGATCCATTCATGTTCGGCGCTCTGCTTGCGAATATGCTACCCTTTAAAATCATGTTTCCTCGTTTGCGGCATTGAAACGCCACCTGCTGCCAATCATGCTGGCAAAGTTCAGTGTACGTTTGAAGACCGTACTCCTTTTTCTACTCATTTTTTATCTTCTCATTAGCTTTACCTCTGATTTCTTCAACGCAAAACCGTCCATACCCAATGGGATCCTTTCATCAGGCGGAGAGTCCACGAACGAGACCGAGAAGCTATCAGAAGAGAGTACCACTGCATCACGCTTTCACCTTCCAACCGAAACAACGACTGCCGCAATAGACAATGCTTCTGCAATTGCTTCCCCAAGCCCGCCATTCAAATCTGCTCTCAAGGACAGCGATGCCACTTTGCTCGATACGGTACCAGCTTATATCAAAGCTATCATGGATCCGGAAGATACGACTTTTCCAAGACTGGACTGCCCGGTTTCAAATGACCATCGATATCATTACCTTAACACCAAGTCCTCAGAAACGCTCCACGATTCTACCACGAATTTGCGCCCAAAATACTTCTTCGCGCTCGACCTCCATCAGCGCGCGAGTTTACTTCCTCGTTTGTTCGGTTCTATCGTCGAAAGCATACGCTTCCTCGGTCCACAAAATTGCGCTCTGTCGGTTATAGAAGGCCGTTCGGACGACGGAACCTTTGAGATCCTTTCGTCGCTGCGTAAGGAAATCGAATGTATAGGTGTCAAATACTACTTCAACTCGAGCGGCATCGACCCTTCAGCAGGCGATCGCATTAACGCAGGTGATCGCATTAAAGGTCTAGCGGAGCTGCGCAATCAAGCACTGCAACCACTTATGGACTATCATTACGAAGGGAGCTCTATGGATGATACCACCATAATCTTCCTCAATGACGTAGCAATCTGCTCCGAGGACATCTTAGAATTGATCCACCAACGCCGCTATCAGCATGCCGATATGGTCTGCGGTATGGATTGGACGTATGTTGGCCCCGACCCTACCTTCTACGACGTCTGGATCGCTCGCGGCATGAACGGTGACACTTTTTTCGAAATACCGGAAGACGGGAGTTGGGACTCAGCCTGGAACATCTTTTGGAATAACCCTATCGCGCGAGAACGCATTTGGGAGGGGAAGCCATTTCAAGTCTTTTCCTGTTGGAATGGCGCTACAGCTTTCACCGCAAAACCTTTTCTTGAGTCAAAGATCAGATTCCGCGGTTCGCATGAGCATGAATGTCCGCAGGGCGAACCGATGACTTGGTGCACGGAGATGTGGCATCTGGGATATGGGAAGATCGCAGTGATACCAATCGTCAATGTTGAGTATAGTGATGAGGCGGCGACGAAGATCAAGGATGCGAAGGGCTACGTTTCTGGCTGGGTGGGACGAGGGGGTGAGAGCGATGCGAGGATTGAGTGGGAATCGACACCGCCTGTGGCCCTCAAATGTATGCCGAATTACGGTAATCAAACCTGGGTGCCGTGGGAAAAGCAGCTTGGTGGGATGGATCCGGCACCCAGAGGAGTGGACCTGGTTTAGGAGACCGAGACCTTTGTGGGTAATGATTGAAAAGACTGTACATGCATGGCATTTAGTAACTGTAATACTAATCAAAGGACAGCTTGGGTCCTGGCTGTCTCAGCACATATCATCAACAGAATCGTGCAAGTAGACGAGATGGCACATATTATGTTCATTAATAGTAATGTCGAATCGTATATACTCAAGAATTGAAGTGCCCTTTCAATATCCTAGCGTGGAACCCTTGAAACAAGAACTGATCTACAAGATGTTCAAAGTCGAAAACTTCACAGATTTAATGGACTGTCATTGCGTCGCGAGTAGCATCTCTCGGAATGGAGTCTTGATCTATTCCGCTCAGTCAGTTCTCTCTTGACTGCGAGTGATTGGGGAGTTGAGGGTAGGACATCTGGATGTTTGCATCCTCAGTGGGTCCACCATAGACAGAAGCAGTATCCGCACGTTCGACGTCAGTAGCCATGATTCCGCCTACAAGACCCTCTTCGCGAGCAACATTCATCCCCCCCGCTCTCCACTGATTGCTTTGCACGACGTCCCTCATCGGCTGAGCTCTCCCGGCATTCCAATGGACCCAAGCTGGATCCAATGGATTTTGGCGCGTTATACCTGGGATGTTCGCTCCGCGGATGATGTTCAGCTCCTGCTCGTTCGTGCTCAGGGTGCTCAGGCTGTCGGCTAGCACATCCGTACTGGAGGCTCGGTGTCTGCGGAGTCTGTGCCTATGGGCTCGGCGTTCTGTGCGTCGTTGCTCGATGCGGTCCTCTATCGCTCTCTCTGCTCCCTGCGGCTCTTCTGTTTCCATGCGCTCGCGTCTGCGTTGCCAGGGTCCAGACAAATGTGAACGTCTGCCTGTGAGAGCTACCTCCATGCTGGATGGTCGTTCGATAGTATACTGATTTATCTCTGCGAGGAGATCCCGGGGGGTTGTGTCGACTTCGATTGCCATGCTAGTGGTGAAAGGCCCGGCTTCAGCCACCTGAGATGGGGATGATCGGCTTGGAATGGGACTGAAGATTGGCGTTTCCGGATCCATGGTGCTACTTCTCAGGATTGAGGAGGAGGAAGAGGAGGGAGTTGTCGGCTGAGCAAGCTCAGCGCTGGTGGCACCATTGAGCAGTGGGACGTACGAGCTTCTACCCCGTACAGGTGCTTCGGATCTTGGGGGTTGGGCCGGATCCATGGTCAGACCTGGCGAGATTAAGGGAGTTTTGACAAGGCGCACGAGGGTGAATGGTCTCGAACAGGGCGGTGTCTTCGTGTTGAACGAAGTCTTTTGGAGGGAGTTATTTAGAGGAATGAGGGGGAGAGGACTACTCGGAAATTAAAAGGACAGAAGAAAGAACCGTACGGTTATATGGCAAGGATGAATTCCTATCTTGCTCAAAAAAATGGCATTAAATTTCGTTGCCATTGTCCCACATGGAAGAAGTCATGGAGACCACAAACGGAGAATGTATGAGTGTTGCATTACCGTAGTACTCGTCTTTGCATAGAGAACTTCAAGAAGTGTAAGGACAACTGACGAAGGTCTATAGACAGTGTTGGAGAATACCGAGTCGTCCGAGTTGGATTGTAAGAATTTGGTTACCGATGTACATCTGGACTGTCCGCCTTGATCACCGACATACATCTAGACTATTCTTCACTGCAACACCTTAGCAAGAGCTTGTCATAGCAGGCAACTCGGCCGAAAGAATGTAGGTAGCATATCAACACGTTTTAGGCTGCTGGCAAACGATCTGAGCTACATAAGTCTTTCCTGCAATTGGATGACGAAATAGAAATGTTGCAAGCCGTTGAACATTGTTGATCCTCAATAGTACTTGCATTATCTCCGCGATCACGCAATATGAGGGTTTTCGCAGGGTGTGGTTCTCAGTCACCAAAGTCAGGACTGTAAAGTAACGTTCGATGGTGGAAATCAACGCCAAGACCCGGCCCGCAGATCCTCGCTTCTCGAAAAGCTTTGGATTGGACACCTCTGAGAGTTGACCACCCTGCAACGCAATTCGCGCCTGTCATTCTTTTGAGTCAAGCAACAGTGGCGTGTTGCAACTTGCACAAAATAGGCAGCACCGAAGTTCTTCTACATGTTGTGACTGCCATTCCCGGAGAGCTGTCTCCTTCCCCTATAGATTTCGCCCAACATGCAGTCCTCACCCAATATGCTCACAAAGGTAGCACACCATGACGCAGTGTTTCTTCAAAGAATCCAAAGTCCAGGCTAATATCAATTTCTGTAATAAGTTCGAGTCCAAATCCTCAAGAGCAAAAGGCATTGCTTTCCACCCAAAGAGGTCCGCACATTGCCCAGCCTGCCTCCGAGTCCTTCTCCAAGCTGACCAATCCCAGACCATGGATACTCGTCTCCTTACATTCCTCCACGATTCAGCTATGGGACTACCGGATGGGTACCCTGATAGATCGGTTCGAGGAGCATGATGGGCCCGTCAGAGGCATAGACTTCCACAAGACACAACCGCTATTCGTATCTGGCGGGGACGATTACAAGATCAAGGTCTGGTCGTATCAGAGCCGAAGATGTCTCTTCACCTTGAATGGCCATTTGGACTACGTTCGGACTGTCTTTTTCCACCATGAACTTCCTTGGATACTGTCAAGCTCGGACGACCAAACAATCCGGATATGGAATTGGCAGAACAGGTCTCTGAGTAAGTGGAGAAGCTTCTTACGGCGAAGCGTAAGCTGATATCCTTTTGCTAGTCTGTACGATGACAGGGCATAACCACTACACCATGTGCGCCCAATTCCACCCCAAGGATGATCTCATCGTCTCTGCTTCATTGGATCAATCAGTGCGAGTTTGGGACATCTCGGGGCTGCGCAAAAAGCAATCTGCTCCCACATCTTTGACCTTCGAAGACCAAATGGCTCGCGCCAATTCGAACCAAGCGGACATGTTTGGTAATACAGATGCGGTGGTCAAGTTTGTTCTAGAGGGCCATGACAGAGGCGTGAACTGGGTCGCATTTCACCCAACTTTGCCATTGATCGTCTCCTCGGGCGATGATCGACTCGTCAAGCTGTGGAGAATGAGCGGTAGGCCTGCTAGCAATTCCATTTCGAATGTAGCACTAACTTCTTACAGAAACAAAGGCTTGGGAAGTGGACACCTGTCGCGGTCATTTCCAGAACTCTTCAGCTTGTCTGTTCCATCCTCACCAGGACCTCATTCTTTCAGTTGGCGAAGACAAAACAATTCGGGTCTGGGACTTGAACAAGCGGACATCTGTCCAGTCGTTTAAGCGCGAGAACGATCGATTCTGGGTTATCGCAGCTCATCCCGAGATAAACCTGTTCGCTGCTGGACATGACAATGGAGTCATGGTTTTCAAGCTGGAGAGAGAGAGGCCTGCCTCTGCCAATTATCAAAATCAGCTATTCTACATCACGAAAGAGAAGTTCGTACGCTCGTACGACTTCTCGAAGAACGCCGAGTCCCCTGCGATCTTGTCTCTCCGGAAATTCGGCAGTCCATGGGTACCACCTAGGACTCTTTCCTATAATCCAGCCGAGCGAGCCGTACTCGTGACGTCCCCTATTGACAATGGTACTTACGAGCTGATCCCTCTCCCTCGTGATGCATCTGGAGCGATTGAGCCCACAGATTTTAAGAAGGGTCAAGGCAATTCTGCTATATTCGTGGCACGCAATCGATTCGCAGTGTTCACCCAGTCAAGTCAGCAAGTGGACATCAAAGACCTCACAAATTCGACGACGAAAACCATCAAGCCACCTCCAGGGACCACGGATGTATTTTTCGGGGGGACTGGATGCATTCTTTTGGTTACTGCTACATCTGTGGTTCTTTACGATATTCAGCAAAAGAAGCAGCTTTCTGAGCTAGCAGTCGCTGGGGTCAAATACGTTGTCTGGTCGAGCGATGGGCTTTACGCAGCTCTACTTAGCAAGCACAACGTCACGATTGTTACGAAGTCTTTAGAGCAAGTCAGTACGCTTCACGAGACGATCCGAATCAAATCTGCAGCATGGGATGACGCCGGCGTACTTCTATACTCGACCCTTAATCATATCAAATACACATTACTCAATGGGTAGGCAGAGTAAATCTTTTGAAGGAGTGCGCTAACTTCATTGCAGGGACAATGGCATTGTCAGAACACTCGACCAGACCGTGTACCTAGTGCGAGTCAAAGCTCGAAGTGTATACTGCTTGGATCGGGCCTCAAAACCGAAAGTGCTAGACGTTGACCCCACGGAATATCGTTTCAAACTTGCTCTTGTCAAGCGAAACTACGAAGAGATGCTGCAGATTATTAAAACATCGAGTCTTGTCGGTCAAAGCATCATCTCGTACCTGCAGAAGAAGGGGTACCCAGAGATTGCTCTCCAATTTGTGCAAGACCCTCAGACCAGATTTGAGCTTGCTATAGAGTGCGGCAACCTTGATGTCGCTGTGGAAATGGCTAAGCAGCTTGACCGACCCAAGCTTTGGACCCGACTGGGTACTGAGGCCCTGGCGCACGGAAATCACACGATCGTGGAAATGACTTACCAGAAACTTCGGCAATTTGACAAATTGTCCTTCCTATATCTTTCAACGGGCGACGGAGAGAAGCTTGCCCGAATGGCCAAGATCGCGGAGCACCGTGGTGACTTCCAATCGCGCTTCCAAAATGCTTTGTATCTGGGAGACGTCGAAGCCCGGGTTCAAATGCTTCAGGACCTCGACCTATGTAAGTCTTTCGCACCAGCCGCTCTTTCATAAGACTCGACGCTAACCAGCGCAGACCCTCTGGCATATGCGACAGCCAAAGCCGCTGGACTTGAGGACGAATGCCAAACAATGCTTGAGGCTAGTGGGCTGACGGAAGATCAAATCTCTCTGCCTACGATGGGCAAGCCATTGAAACCACCAAGATCTATTGTTCACACACACAAAGCCAACTGGCCGGTGAAAGCAGCCTCCCATTCCTTCTTCGAGAAAGCTCTTCTCGGCGAAGTCGGAGCCGTGGATGATGATGTCCCGCAAATATCGAATGGGGTTGACCACATTGAAGGCGTCCCAGAGGACGAGGCTGTCACTCGAGATGGCCAGCTGGGCGAAGAAGAAGACGAAGATGCTGCAGGCTGGGACATGGGTGACGACATCAACGTTGAGGTCGAGTCTGACTTCGTCAACGTCGACAGTGCAGACGCTGGTGCTGGCAGTAGTGAAGCCGATCTATGGGCCCGCAACTCTCCCATCGCTGCTGACCATGCAGCTGCTGGATCTTTCGAGACCGCTATGCAGCTTCTCAATCGGCAAGTGGGCGCCGTCAACCTGGCACCTCTCAAACCCCGCTTCCTCGAAATCTACCAAGCTTCCAAGACATACCTACCAGCCACTCCGGGATTGCCTCCTCTGGTCAACTACGTGCGCCGAAATGTAGAGGAGACTGATCCCCGGAAGCTGCTTCCCATCATACCACGGGACCTAGAATCAATTGCCACCACTGACTTACAGGAAGGCTACAGTGCGATGAGATCGAACAAACTCGACGACGGTTTGAAGACCTTTAAGCGAATTTTACATTCTCTACTAGTCAACGCTGTAAGCTCTCAGCAAGACGTTGCTGAGGCCAAGAAGATTATCACGACGGCGGCCGAGTACGCTACAGCGATGGCGTTGGAGCTGGAGCGAAGGGCCCTGCCTTCCGAGGGCGAAGACAACATCAAACGGAGTCTTGAGCTCTCAGCGTATTTTACGATACCCAAGCTTGAAGTTGCCCATCGCCAGCTTGCGCTCATGGCTGCCATGAAACTGGCTTTCACCAACAAGAATTACTCATCAGCCCTCAGCTTTGCTAACCGCATGCTTGCAAATGGGGGTTCGGCCAAGCTGTTGGATCAGGTTAGCAACGCTTTTGCGCTCCGAATTGCATGACAATTGCCATTACTAATCCTCTTCATAGGCAAAGAAGATCAAGTCCCAGTGCGAACGAAGTCCGCAGGACAAGATTGACATTGAGTTTGATCAATTCGCTGAATTCGACGTCTGCGCTTCTTCTCACACGCCAATATATGGCGGCTCCCCAAGTGTCGCCTGTCCTTTTGACGGTGCGAAATATCATTCGGAGTTCAAGGGACAGGTCTGCAGGGTTTGTGAGGTTTGCGAGATTGGTGCTCCAGCGAGCGGAATTAGGCTGTTCGCTGCTTAAGGGAAGGAAGCTGTGCATGTTCTTTGCCCTGAATCCCGCTGCATACTTTACATTACGAATCAGCGACACTGTTCAGCTACTTTGTGGAGGGACCTTGTATCCTAGCAAAAGCCGCCTAATGTCATACCCTCACATGAGAAGTAAAGAATAGATCAGTTTTTGCTGTAATCGCCGTATTACCCTCTTCTTCGGCCAGGTACTAGTACCTCCTGAACACCGGCTCAGACTGGACAATATAGGGGGGCCTTCTGTTGGAAAGTAGCCTGACTTATTTGGTTGCGTGCAAACCGCGTCGCTCGTGAGCAGAATTCCCCCTTCAGCAGAGACTCGATCCTACACCGTTCGGGCTGCTTAATCTTCGACACATTCACCCTCCGGAGTGAAGAGGAGCTACTGTGAGGGTGAAGGGAAAGGGGGAATGAGGTAGCTAGATGCTAAATAAGATTCGATGCTTTGACGATTGAGTGACTCTCCATGTGATAATACCAGCTTCTTGCCCATACCTGGTCTGGTAGTCAGCCCGTCTCTCGGGGCTAGATATCTTTCTTCCTCAAGTCCGTTGTTACTCCAAGCCGCGCTAGCCCACTCCTTTGGGCCTAGGATACTCAGCCCTACGAGAACCCCGAATTTCAGCTCGCTGAAGTGAAAGCTGCCCGACCTGAAAGCTTGACTGCTGAAGAAGGCTGTGCACGACTAGTTTCGAGGGACATTTTACAAAATGTTGCCGAACTGGTCCTAAAATTTGCAGCTGTTGAATCTCACTCCCCCATCTCGACGCTCCTGCTTCAAGCTTCAAACATCAGGTCACATCAGACACAACACCTCGCACGTGCCTTCCCTCCTCAGCTCCTCCAAACCAGCCATGACCCTGCTCTCAAAAGTCGTCCCTCTCGTCATCTTCTTCATCGTCCTCACCGTCGCTGCGTTCATCGGCTATGCGGTATACACAATCGCTACGGATGTAGCTGAGAAAACGTCGAAGAAGATGGAGAAGAAGAATATCAGTTTCGGCAAGGACGGCATGAAGATTGGGATCAAGGAAGTCAGGAACGAGAACTATGTTGATCAGACACAGAGGTATGGAGGTGCCGATGGGTTCTGGTATCATCGGCAGAGCTGACATAGTCTTCTACATTCTCAGCCTACTGGTAAAGGCCTGGAATTACTCGAGCTGGCCGGCGTACAAATCGCGGTTCTGGAACAAGGAGAACGAGCCGCCACAGAAGGCGCAAGCGAGAACACCGTAAGTAGTATTAGCCTCGACGCTGTCAAGGAATCACTAGCTAATCCGGTCCCGCGTGTTTAGATTTTCTCGCTCGGCGAGTTCAGGCAAGGCAAAGGCATGAAGACCACATAGGGCTATGATTGAGAACTACCTTACAAATTGATGAATCGATGGCATATAGAAGGCGTAACAAGGGGCTTCGAACGATTGTTTAGCGGTCTTTGTGCGAGGGAGGCAGTGTCTCATTGCTGGCTAGTGAGCGCGGACAGATACCCAATGGAATTAGCATGCGAAAAGCGACAAAGAGAGCAAATTACAATTACGAGAAGTTCCTGCCCCAACATGATAGTCCTAAGAAGGGAAGGAGCCATGATGCTGGCCCATCCAACGCTCAAAACTCCGGCTAGTTTCCCAACTTTTCTTCACATCAACAACCGGTTTACCCCCTAATATTACCACTTTTCCCCCCTCACTTCTGCCTATAGCACATTGTTTCTGCTGGTTACTACTCCTATTATTACGACAATGCAAGCTCCTCGTCTCTTTGATCTTCGTTCCAAAGCAGAAGACTCTGACCATCACGGTCACCGAACCCATACTTCTGTACTGTCCCTTTCAATACTATTGAGGAGCCTGCTGACGCTTACAACAGCTTCACGATGCAAGCACACTGCCCGCCTTTCGACGACTGAGCTTGGGTAAATACCCATCAATCATCGCCCGTTACACGGCTGCTAATCCAGGTTCCCAATAGATGATACTACGAGCGAACCCCGCCGTTTCCTCATTCCTGTGGACGCGACCCTCAAAAGTCTCCTGTCGAGAGAAGATACCGACCAGAATGTTCAGATCACTATCGATGATGCGGGCCCCAAGGTTCTCTCGTTGGGAACGGAATCATCCCATGGTTTCAAGCATTTTGATATCCGTGGGAACTACAGTATGAGTCCTCCAACGGCCTGCAGCGGACTAGGCACATATTTTATTGCTTCACCTCGATCTAGAAAGAATAATTGCTGACTGGGGAATCCCATCAGTGTTGTCGAATTTGCTTCAGGAGTTGACCCTAGCAAAGGATTCCGGCAGGAAACACATCATCTTAGATGAGGCCCGACTGAACGAGAACCCCGTTCAACGCCTCTCGCGGCTGATTCGATACTCGTTCTGGCCAAATCTCACTCGGCGTATTGACGCTTCGTCAATTGAGAAGGCGGGGCGGGACCCTAAGGACTGGACTGATGACCCGAGGCCGCGAATATACATCCCGGAGAGTTGCCCGGACCAGATCCAATACTACGAGCAACTCGCTAGAGATCGGCCCCTGATTCGCCTTGACGTCCAAATCCTCACTCCTCATGAACTCACACCTGAAGGGATTAGAGACCTCAACAACAAACCAGGACTGCTGGCTCTTGCCATGGAGGAGTGGACATCTTCTCGGACTGCAGCCAAGGAGCTGCGGGGCCTTCCCTTTGTCGTGCCAGGTGGACGCTTCAACGAAATGTATGGTTGGGATTCCTACATGGAATCACTTGGACTTATTGTCAATGAGCGAACTGATCTTGCCAAGTCCATGGTCCAGAACTTCTGCTTTTGCATCAAACACTATGGCAAGATCTTTAATGCTAATCGTACATACTACCTGGGACGCACCCAGCCTCCATTTCTTACAGACATGGCGCTTAGGGTATATGACAAGATTCGCCATGAACCCGACGCCTTGGACTTTCTCCGTGAAGCTATGTTAGCTGCCATCAAGGAGTACTACACCGTCTGGATGGCATCCCCAAGATTTGATCCTCTCACCGGTCTGTCCCGATATCGACCAGTAGGCATTGGCGTTCCACCAGAGACGGAAGCTAGCCACTTCACCCACATCCTTGAGCCATACGCAAAGAGATACAACATGGAATACTTCGAATTTGTTCAAGCGTACAACAGGGACGACGGGACCGTTACCGAGCCTGATCTGGATGAATACTTCTTACATGACAGAGCGGTTAGAGAGTCGGGCCATGATACCTCCTATCGTCTGGAAAATGTGGCAGCAAACCTTGCGACCGTCGATTTGAATTCGCTGCTGTACAAGTACGAGACCGATATCGCTCGGTGTATCCAATTTTTCTTTGAGGACCATCTTGAGATTCCAGCCGACATGTGCGTGGTCGCCCACGGTATGAAACCCAACCAGAAGGAGACGTCAGCAGCTTGGAACCGGAGAGCCAAGAGTCGAAGGTACGTATTCTTGGAGTCAGATCTATCTTGGACCAATGCTTGAGTCCAGAATCCTATCTTCGTCAGGCAATGCTGACTCCAGAATCTTAATCTAGAAGGGCAATTGACCGTTACCTTTGGAATGAAAGCAAAGGAATGTACTTCGATTATGACACTGTCAAGCAGGAGCAAACCGATTACGAGACTGCAACTACTTTCTGGGCAATGTGGGCAGGCCTAGCGACTCCTCAACAGGCTGCTGCTTTGGTGATAAAAGCACTCCCGAAGTTCGAGGCATTTGGAGGTTTGGTATCCGGCACGGCGGAATCTCGAGGGGCTATTGGCATTGACCGTACGTGGAACTTCCCAAGCCAATTCTTCCCACTCATGCTGTCTTATGAGTCATCAGACATATCGAAAGAGTCCTCTGCTCCTGAGACATGTCTCGCGACTCAGAATGCCTCCCGAAAGAGTAGTGCTGACTCCGAAATCATCAGGCCCAAGCCGCCAGTGGGACTACCCCTATGGTAAGCAAACATCGAACAGCTTGAAGCCTGAGAAACGCTAACATTTGACAGGGTGGGCACCTCAAGTACGTGGCTTTGGAGTCCAAATGTCCTCTGTTTACTTTTCGGGCATGATCCGAGGGTCGATACCCTGTCGTGAACAGGCAACGCTAACTCGGAGCCTTTGTCTATAGCAAATCTTGGCTTGGGGAGGGTTCCTGAGATATGGTTTTCAGGATGAGGCCGAGCGACTTGCGTACAAATGGCTCTATATGGTCACCAAAGCCTTTGTCGATTTCAACGGGATAGTGGTAGAGAAGTACGATGTCACTCGACCAATCGATCCTCACAAAGTCGATGCAGAGTACGGAAGTAAGTAGCACCCAGGAGGCCCCTCGGGCTACGAATCCATCTCCTGACCCAACCGAAAGGTTACTGACTCCCAAAATTGAACATAGATCAAGGCAGCGATTTCAAAGGCGTGGCTAAAGAGGGTAAGATAGCATGTTTTTGAGGCAAGATCATGGGCTGATTTCCGTCCTTTTCTCAGGTTTTGGGTGGGTCAATGCCAGCTACGTGTATGGGTTGAGCATTGTCAACACCCACATGAAGCGCGCTTTGGGAACTTGCACCCCGTGGGAGACGTTCCGCAAGGCTACTGAAGCCAGCGAGGGAGCATAGCGTTGGGCTTGATAACAATATTTTCATTCGTATGATTGAGTAGAAGTCCACCGCGTGGCTGGTACCATAGGAATGCTCTTGCAATACAATCTCATCCATTGATCCAATAGCGTGAAAAGGTTGTGTGTATAATCATTTGTAAAGAAGTAGAGTATTGCCTGGGGTCCGTCGAGTTGGAATCGGAGGGCTCTTCCTTCCACGTGGAGCCATGCCGCGATCGCGTGTCAAACATGTGCTTTGTTCCCCAGGATAATAATCAACAATCTTTACCATCAGATTATATAGGCAAGGTAATGTAGGTATTGATACCTCAGGATGCTACTTCCAAATCATTGGCAGTTATTATTGGTATCCGATAACCGCCCAGACCGAGGTAACAAATTAGCGTGGTTTTTCTCCGCGTCTCAATCACGCGACTTTTTTTATTCTTTATAATAACTCTATTATATTAAATTTAATATAGCTAAAATTATTACTCTATCTACTTCTAATAAAAAAGAATTAGATTAAATTATAAAATATTAGAAAAGAGATATCTAGATTAATATAAGAAAGAAGAAACTTAAATAATATAATATTCTTTTTTAAAGTATATCTTCACTATTAGAGTATTAGTTAATAAAAATTAAGTATTATATAACTATTAATTATCTTTCGAGTAATATAGAAATTACTTTATATATAATATTTAGTTTTATATAGATTATTATTATCTAGAATATATTTTATAAAAATATTAATTTATATATCTCTCTATAGAGTACTTTAGATTCTATTTAAAAGCTTATTAATATTTTAAAGTTAAAAATCTTTATCGCTATTATAATCTATATAGAAATCTTTTATTTTTCTATTATTTATAATTATTAGAGAATTAATAGAATTACTTTAATAGCTTTATTAATTATTAAGAATATAACTCAAAATCGCTATATTCTTCTTTAAAAATTTATTTATTACTTAAATTTTATTGAAGAGAATTTTAGAATTATTAAAATAAATAAATATAAATAGTCTATATAGTATAAAAAGCTTTAATTATTTATAAATAAGATATAAAATAATTAAAAGAAGCTTTATATTCTAAGTTCTTATATTATAATTAATAAATATATAATTAAAGAGATAAAATATATATATTATTTTATAATAGCTCTAGATAAATTAATTAAAAAGAAATATAAGCTATTCGTAATTAATAATAAAGATTATCTCTATAATTATATCTAATATTTTTCTATATAAAATCTTAAGAATAAATTAAAAGTTAAAGATCTTAAAGATATATTAGCTATAATATTTAAATTAGTTATTAATATATTATCTTATAACTTTATTCTCTTTATAAATAATTATTTTATTAAATCTAAACTAATTATAATTCTAAAAAATAAAGAAATTATAATATATAAAACTATAAAGTTAAATTAATTAGATCTCTTAAAATTACTTATAGAGATAAAATAAATCTTTATAAGAAATATTTTATATAGAGTTCTTATTATAGTAGTTTAGAATAATATATTAATAATAATTTAATAAGATAATAATCTTATTCTAGCTCTAATTACTATATATAATATAAAAGAAATTAATAACTCTATTTTTAAAAAGAGAAAATATTTTAATAAGATTAGTATAAATAGTTATATAGTTCTATCTACTTTTAAAGAGAATAATTAGAATATATAAGAGAAAAAGTTTTAAATTTTTAAGCTTTTCTACTATTATAATAAGTATATAGAAGAAATTAATCGATTTAATACTTTAATAGCTATATTTTTTTTTTAGCGAGCTTATAATTAAAATTAAATATCTCTACTTTATTAATATTTAAATAAAAATCTTTTAAATATCTTTAAGCTTTATAAATTGATAGAAATATTTTATTAAAAGTATTAGAAGTTTCTCGAGCTAGTAGTAATAGAATTAATTAAAAAAGATAGAGAAGATATTTAATCTCGATTATCTTTTATCTTAATTACTACTCTATTAAAATTATTATAAAATAATTATAATTAATAAGATTTAAATACTATTTAATAGTATTTTATATATTATTTTAATATTTAGAAGAGACGTTTTAGTAGAGAAATTAGTAATAATAGTGGGAGAGTATTAAAGATTAGAGGGGGATACGCTATATATAAAGTCTCTTTATATTATAAAGGAGATTATATAAAACGATTTTATAATAGAAAGGATTGAATAGAGTCTATAGAATGGATCTAGATTATTGAGTGTAGATTATATAGTAGTTATGGAGTGGTAGTGTTGATAATAATGGTAGAAATCGCATTTGTTGCCTCCGGGCGGTTATCGGATACATAGTTGTGCTTACCGCCAGTATCCATGGATCTGGTGAACCAAGTTGAGGAGAATCCTAGTGCGAATCCTTCGACCGTTGATTGGCGGGCTACTTAGATTATTATGCTTGAAGCCATGGAGGTTGAGATAAATCTCCACTTCTGGGTTGGGGCGGGGCAAAGCTGACATGCTATGATTCTCGCGCCAAATACATGAACCATCTCATTCTCCTCCTACTTGACATCGCAAATGAAACCTCATTACGATGACCATTTGACAAGCAAGTTGCGGTGCGGAGCGTCCGGTTGTTAACCTTTCTGTGAGCGCTCCGGCGCACAAGGCTCAACATGCAGACACCTATCCTCTCTCGCCTTCTCTGGCTCTCGCAATACATAGTGCTTGTGTCCGCCTCCAATTTTGCTTTGGTTGAACGAGCATCGGCATCGGCAGTGCCTACACCCATTTCAGTAGCGCCCTCACAAAATTGGTATCTTTCTACGCTCGCAAGAAGTCCGAACTTTGCTGACCCGGTCTAGGGACGGTGATGATGGCCCGTGGTCTTCTTTCACTATCCAAGTTGGCACACCCATTCAAGACGTCCGAGTCTTTGTCTCCAACGAGATCTCCACTACCTGGATCGTTGAGACGGAGGGATGTGCTGTAGGCGATGATACATGTTCAAACGGCCGTGGACTTCTATTCAACCCCAACTCCTCTTCCACCTGGAGCCAGTACGGGTTCTATGCGTTAGGCGCAGAACAGAATCTGGGTTCAACGGGTAGCGCAAGATATGGCAATGATACAGTGGGCTTGGGGATCCAAGGGAGTGGTGGACCTTCTCTACCGGACCAGATCGTTGGGGCGTTTTCGACGGATGATTTTTACCTGGGATTCTTCGGCGTCAATCCGGCTTCGACCAATTTTACACAACAAGAGCAGGGGAAAGCAAGCTATATGACTACGCTAAAGAACCAGAATCTGATACCAAGTCTGAGCTTTGGGTATACAGCTGGAAACAAATATCGCTTGAAGCAAGTGCTTGGGAGTCTGACGCTCGGAGGGGTTGATTCAGGGCGTTTCGTGCCAAACAACCTGTCAATATCATTTGCACCGCAAGAGGGTCGCAGTCTGTTGGTGGGAATACAGTCAATCTCATCAGTCGACCAGAATGGGACTACAAGCAATCTGCTACCAAATGGTGGTATTATGGCCTTGGTCGACTCAACAGAGGCACAGATCTGGCTCCCTGTGGAAGCGTGTCAAGCTTTTGAAACAGCGTTTGGATTGACGTACAACGACACGAATGGGTTCTATCTGGTCGATGACGCGTTAAGCTCTCAATTGACGGCCCAAAATGCGAGTGTCACGTTCACGCTAGGTAATTCAACGAGTGGTGGAGAAACAATCAATATCACGCTACCGTATGCCAGTTTTGATCTACTGTTGACACCGCCTGCTGCGAATCTAACCAGCAATACGAACTATTTCCCGCTGCGCAGGGCGGATAACAGTACGCAGTATACCTTGGGAAGGACATTTCTTCAGGAAGCATATCTCACTGTGGATTGGGAACGCCAGAATTTCTCCATTTCCGAATGCCTGTTCTCTGAGGACATGCAGCAAACTCTTGTGGCTATCCAAGCTCCAAGTGATACGACGAGCTCTGGGGGTTCTTCGACTGGCAAGACTGTGGGTATCGCAGTGGGTGTTGTCGTGGGTGTTCTTGTCATCGCTGCCGCAATTGGTGCGTTCCTCTGGAAGAAGCGCCAGACTAAGCGTGAGTCAGAGAAGGAGAAGGCAGAAAAGGCAAAAATGCTTGATAACGATATGGAGGATCAGCACCGACAAGGATTCAAACAAGAGCTTGGCGTTGACAACGAGCATCAACGCTTCGAAATGCAAGGCTCCACTCCCGAGGAAGCCAAGGCCAAAGCCGAAGCTGCACAAGCTCAATGGATAGACGAGAAAGCCCGATACCCTGGGGAGAGATCGGGCATCGCTGAGGTTGCCGGTGGCGATGTGTCCAGGTCCGAGATCGCTGCCGGCGATGTGTCAAGACCAGAGCTTCCTTCATCGCAGGGGGGACCACTGCGGCCATTTCACGAGTTGTATGATCCTTCAGCACCTCCCGCCGAGCTACCAGGAGACCCGGTGGGAGAACTGGAGGGTTCGGTCCCAGCACTCTCGAGTCAAACATCTTTTTCGTCGTCCAGGCGAAGGTCATTGAATAGGAACAACCCCGGGTCACCATTGAGTCAGTCGTCTGGTCGCTTCTCGGTGGCAAATAAAGTGTCGAGAGGGAAACGTCAGGCTCGTGACTCCATTCCAAGTCTTCACGCTACCGCGCCCACCCCACCACCGAAGCCTGCGGCAGGTCTTTCATCACCACCACCATCGGTTCGGCCGACCTCGAGGCGTAATCCTTCGAATGACATTTACAGTCCGCTTTCGAACGAGGATATGATGTCGCCTGGCAGTGCGGGGGTGACCGTTCGTGGAGGAACCCATGTCGTTAGTCCCGACTCGCCTGTCGATCCTGAGGCTAGTCGGACGAGTTTTTGGGCTCGTATGACTGGGAAGAAACATTAGATGTATATGCACTCCTCTGATAACCTGTTCAGTCATCGTTTGTTGCAAAAGCATCACTCGAGTGGGCGTTTTCGGCTGGGTCATGGACGGATATATCGGGAAGG